ATCATTATAAAACATATCATATATATTATTCTGAAATGGACCAATCTGCACAACGACTACTTTTACTGTCACTACTTTCACTATATTTTGATGATAATACTTTTATACTTTCACTTGAGGAACATTTTGAATGCAGGACTTTTACTGTAACAGAGTATTCCTACACTCTGGTACTTCTACTTTTACTCAAGTACAAGATCTGAGTACTTCTACTTTTACTCAAGTACAAGATCTGAGTACTTCTACTTTTACTCAAGTACAAGATCTGAGTCCTTCTACTTTTACTCAAGTACAAGATCTGAGTACTTCTACTTTTACTCAAGTACAAGATCTGAGTACTTCTACTTTTACTCAAGTACAAGATCTGAGTACTTCTACTTTTACTCAAGTACAATATCTGAGTCCTTCTACTTTTACTCAAGTACAATATCTGAGTACTTCTACTTTTACTCAAGTACAAGATCTGAGTACTTCTACTTTTACTCAAGTACAAGATCTGAGTCCTTCTACTTTTACTCAAGTACAAGATCTGAGTACTTCTACTTTTACTCAAGTACAAGATCTGAGTACTTCTACTTTTACTCAAGTACAAGATCTGAGTACTTCTACTTTTACTCAAGTACAAGATCTGAGTACTTCTACTTTTACTCAAGTACAAGATCTGAGTACTTCTACTTTTACTCAAGTACAAGATCTGAGTACTTCTACTTTTACTCAAGTACAAGATCTGAGTACTTCTACTTTTACTCAAGTACAAGATCTGAGTACTTCTACTTTTACTCAAGCACAAGATCTGAGTACTTCTACTTTTACTAAAGTACAAGACCTGAGTACTTCTACTTTTACTAAAGTACAAGACCTGAGTACTTCTGCTTTCACTCAAGCACAAGATCTGAGTACTTCTACTTTTACTAAAGTACAAGACCTGAGTACTTCTACTTTTACTCAAGTACAATATCTGAGTACTTCTACTTTTACTCAAGTACAATATCTGCGTACTTCTACTTTTACTAAAGTACAAGACCTGAGTACTTCTGCTTTCACTCAAGCAAAAGATCTGAGTACTTCTACTTTTACTAAAGTACAAGACCTGAGTACTTCTACTTTTACTCAAGTACAAGATCTGAGTACTTCTACTTTTACTAAAGTACAATATCTGAGTACTTCTGCTTTCACTCAAGTACAAGATCTGAGTACTTCTACTTTTACTAAAGTACAAGATCTGAGTACTTCTGCTTTCACTCAAGTACAAGATCTGAGTACTTCTACTTTTACTAAAGTACAAGACCTGAGTACTTCTACTTTTACTAAAGCACAAGATCTGAGTACTTCTACTTTTACTCAAGTACAAGATCTGAGTCCTTCTACTTTTACTCAAGTACAAGATCTGAGTACTTCTACTTTTACTCAAGTACAAGATCTGAGTACTTCTACTTTTACTCAAGTACAAGATCTGAGTACTTCTACTTTTACTCAAGTTCAATATCTGAGTCCTTCTACTTTTACTCAAGTACAAGATCTGAGTACTTCTACTTTTACTCAAGTACAAGATCTGAGTACTTCTACTTTTACTCAAGTACAAGATCTGAGTCCTTCTACTTTTACTCAAGTACAAGATCTGAGTACTTCTACTTTTACTCAAGTACAAGATCTGAGTACTTCTACTTTTACTCAAGTACAAGATCTGAGTACTTCTACTTTTACTCAAGTACAAGATCTGAGTACTTCTACTTTTACTCAAGTACAAGATCTGAGTACTTCTACTTTTACTCAAGTACAAGATCTGAGTACTTCTACTTTTACTCAAGTACAAGATCTGAGTACTTCTACTTTTACTCAAGTACAAGATCTGAGTACTTCTACTTTTACTCAAGCACAAGATCTGAGTACTTCTACTTTTACTAAAGTACAAGATCTGAGTACTTCTACTTTTACTCAAGTACAATATCTGCGTACTTCTACTTTTACTAAAGTACAAGACCTGAGTACTTCTGCTTTCACTCAAGCACAAGATCTGAGTACTTCTACTTTTACTAAAGTACAAGACCTGAGTACTTCTACTTTTACTAAAGTACAATATCTGAGTACTTCTACTTTTACTCAAGTACAAGATCTGAGTACTTCTACTTTTACTCAAGTACAATATCTGAGTACTTCTACTTTTACTAAAGTACAAGACCTGAGTACTTCTACTTTTACTCAAGCACAAGATCTGAGTACTTCTACTTTTACTAAAGTACAATATCTGAGTACTTCTGCTTTCACTCAAGAACAAGATCTGAGTACTTCTACTTTTACTAAAGTACAAGATCTGAGTACTTCTGCTTTCACTCAAGTACAAGATCTGAGTACTTCTACTTTTACTAAAGTACAAGACCTGAGTACTTCTACTTTTACTAAAGCACAAGATCTGAGTACTTCTACTTTTACTAAAGTACAAGATCTGAGTACTTCTACTTCCCTCAAGCACAAGTTCCGAGTACTTGCCCCCCCCCCCCCCCCCCTTGATGATATCTCCCAGAGTTCTTGATATTTCTGGAACAAAGCAAAAACAATATCAATTATAAATAAAGCACATGAGATTTTTGTGTAAAAATATGAACGATATTTAAAAACAGAAGCTATATTCATACCTTAGTCACTGTTCATGTTCACAGGAGAGTAGAGGACAACTGAAATAAAAAACAGTTTTAGTTTATACTTTAAAATCAATGTTTCATGAGCTCGACCATGAAACATCTAGTTGATCAAATACTCTAATCTATAATCCTCTGATCAGATAATCCTGATCCAGAGTCACGTCTCCAAATGTCTGTGTTATTCAATTCATCCTGACACTCACCGGGTTCCTCCTGCTGGGAGATGGGCTTTTTCACACCGGCATGTTGAGCTGTGAGGAAACCAGAAGCTCGCATCAGAGGAGAGGCGGCTGCTTTGCTTATATCATTATATTTTGCATTTCAAATGAGCTTCATGTTTATCCAGGAAAGGAGAGGACAACACCAGCAACCAGAGGCTAGCTGAGAACATGCTATGAGAGCAAATCAAGCCAGAGGTACCGCCTCACTTTTATGCACAGATTGCACCATATTCGTCTAAAATGTCATAACTTCATAATTATATCCAATTAGACATTTGTGTGAAGCTATCATATATAACGTATGACTTCTTGAGTTAGTGGTAAAAACGTATTTTGTGATTCAAACGGACCTTTAACCCCAAACATAATTTACTCCTTGAGTCTTGATTCCACTACAGCCCGCAGCCCGGTTTAAGAGAGCTGTGACGTCAGCGGCCCGTCTTTGGTTGCGTTTCCACTTGGCCTAGTACCGGCCGGCGGGTCCTAATTCACAGTTTTTCTGGCCTCATAAAATCGTGGGTCTAGGGCCAGAGACAACGAGGCTGAGTCGGGCTGAGTTTGCTAAACTAGAGAGAGAATCGCTGGCAAGGGGGCTACAACTACAACAAGATGGACATATCTGACCGTGATTTAATTGTAATACACGTTTCAAAATGATGCCGAAGTAACAACATACTGATACCGGTTAGTAAAAACCATGAATTAATGTTTGACAAGTCTGCAGACAGACGGCAGGGGAAAAACCTTTTAAAATGCGTGTTTTCTAAATGGAGATTGGCTAAGCTAACGCAGTATATGCTCCGACCGGCCACACTCACAACAACGGCCTACAGACATAAATAAAGCAGCGACTGTATTCACCATGACACAGGCAGTCTGTGGTGTGTACTTGTTTAACTTTTGTCTAGTTTCTGAACAGATATGAGGAGCTGTGAGCTCTGAGTGCTAACAGCTAACGGCTGTGTTGTTTTTCTGGGGTTCTCATTGAAGATGACGTCACGGCTCCGCCTACACTGCGTTACTATAGATACTACCCCAGTTCCTAAACTGTAATGGAAATGCGCCATAAAGTGAGCCAGTCCTAACGAGGCCTAGCCATACCGAGCGAGGCAGAGCGAGGCCGTGTAGTGGAAATGCGCCAGTGGACGTTAATGCTGTACCTCATTCACAAGAAAAGACCCAAAGGTCCCCATCCTCAGATTTGGTTTGTGCTGACGGAATACAAATCAGCATAATGTCATTTGTGGTACAGCTTCTTTTTGGTATTATATCTCTTAGATCCACAGGTTAAAGAGTCACTTTAAAGCTCCCATGTCATGCTTTTCCGGTTATTACCCGTCCCCTTGTGTGTTATGAAGGTTTTTATGCATGTAAACGGTGTGCAGAGTCAAAACCCTCAAAGTACACCCTGTAGCGAGTAAAACTCTAACACAGAAAATACCTCCCCAAAACGCCTCGTTGGAGATACGTCACTGCCCATTTGAGTCTTCCATTTAGTTCCGGGTACCGCCTGATGTCATGCGGTACCCGAAACGAAATGGACCAATCCCGAAGAGCTATGGCCACACCAGCAGCGGCGTGTTCCTCCTCCAGAGGTTCGAAGAACCGGCATTTCACAGACGAAAGCTTCCAAAACATTGCCCAGTTTGAGGCCGGATATGCACAGCTTGTTTGGACCGTTTGGAGCAGGGGAAGATCTGGGTATACAACCTGTAAGTTTGCATTGTTATTTGTGTATTTATCAAACAAGACTGTTTAAATGTGTAAACTGTGTTGGACTGCTAAGCCATTGACACAGTGCTAACTGTGCTAACTAAGTTGCTAGAGTTTCCATATATCAACTCTAATATCAGCAGATGGCCTTGCATACATGTATCTCATAGCAGGAGAATGTCTGCATTCACACACACGGAATACTCATACAGTATACTGTACTGTGATTTACCGTACATTGTGACCGTACATATACTGCATGTAGCTAACGAGGCTAGCTGTATGCTAGCGCAAAACAATGTATTCATGCAAGTTACATTGTATGGTAGCAGAATACCCGTATACGATTGCAATTATAAACACGTTATTGCTAGCCTAATATGAACCACTAGCTTTTGTTCATAGTAGTTTTATTACACTGCATTATAGTTGCCTTTCCTCCAAGCTAACGTTCATATCGTGTTAGCTACCAAGGTAAACAAAGCTAGGTTAGCATATTAGCAGGCAAGCTGTTCATTACACAACTACTACTAACGAATCTAAAACAACTAAGTTTCTCTAATATTTTGTGATTTGCATTTGATTTCGTCCAGCCAGATCCTGGCGGACAATCCATGACGTGCTAAAAGGCACTTCTACTACTACTGAGGCGTCGTGCTAAAAGGCACCGCACCGGCTGTGCGCAGGCAAGAGGAGGAGGAATGGATGATATACCGTGTGTATATATGTATATTTATGTTCATTTTGTACATTTCTAAAAATAAAGTTTAATGGAAATACTTAGTAGGCCTATCCTTTCTTCCCTGAATTCATATATAGCAAACCATGATTTGATTTCTCATCAAACAGTAGTAGTTTATAACGGGTAAAAATAACTTACTCTTTGTTATGAGCGGCTCGTAGGCCACAAAGACAAGAAGACATACACGAGTTTACAAAACCACGGCACATTTATTGTGGTAAATGGAGAGATAGGTGGTTGAGAGGATCGCAGAGTTAGTCTTCCTGCAGCCGCTTTGGAGAGAGACTGGGGCCGTAGTGTCCGGAGGTGTCCGTGATCGTGCTGATTAGCCTCTTCAGCTCCATCCCATCGTAAGACAAAGGCCCTGGGGCCGTCACACTCTTCTATAACAACAGTTAAAAATATATATGTATATAAAATATACGGCTGTGCCGACGCCATGATAAGACTGATGTTACGCTGAGAGCAGCCGGGAAAAGCACTGTTAGACATGGGCGCAGCCTCTCTGGTGGTTGACTAATCAGAACGAGTGGCCGAGCTGACCAATCGGAGCACACTAGGCTCACAGGGAGGGGGGGGCAAGAGCTCCAACGAGTCGTTTAGTGGAGAAAGTGAATACTGCTGAATACACATGCTTGACAGAGATGCTGTATGCGAAACCAATGTGAGTTTGGAAAATTGCACAGTATAAATCTATTTTAGTATACCTCAACAATGTAATTATGATCAGTGGAAATGGCCATGACATGGGCCCTTTAAAATGCGTGTTTTCTAAATGGAGATTGGCTAAGCTAACGCAGTATATGCTCCGACCGTCCACACTCACAACAACGGCCTATACAGACATAAATAAAGCAGCGACTGTATTCACCATGACACAGGCAGTCTGTGGTTTGTACTTGTTTAACTTTTGTCTAGTTTCTGAACAGATATGAGGAGCTGTGAGCTCTGAGTGCTAACAGCTAACGGCTGTGTTGTTTTTCTGGGGTTCTCATTGAAGATGACGTCACGGCTCCGCCTACACTGCGTTACTATAGATACTACCCCAGTTCCTAAACTGTAATGGAAATGCGCCATAAAGTGAGCCAGTCCTAACGAGGCCTAGCCATACCGAGCGAGGCCGAGCGAGGCCGTGTAGTGGAAATGCGCCAGTGGACGTTAATGCTGAACCTCATTCACAAGAAAAGACCCAAAGTATAAGGTCCCCATCCTCAGATTTGGTTTGTGCCGACGGAATACAAATCAGCATAATGTCATTTGTGGTACAGCTTCTTTTTGGTATTATATCTCTTAGATCCACAGGCTAAAGAGTCACTTTAATAACTTCCGTTAGACTCACATGAAGAGGCGTCGTTCAGAGTAGAGTAAACCAGCTGGAGCTCGACGCTGCCCCCTACAGGACGGTCCGAGTCCTGCAGGCGGTGATTCTCCACTTTGGATAAAACACAAGAAAACTAAAATATGTATATCTTTCCTTTATGGAGTGGTGCAGGGATGTGTTATTTCTGTGTTGGTCCCTGAAGGCAGCATCTCCCTGGTCCAAAGGGATTTTCGATTATTGCAGAAAATAATCTCAACGTTTATGATACTTACACGTCGAGGATAATAAACGTGATAATCTCCACATTTTAACACCACTTTATGATTTATGTCGTAGAACAAAGAGTAAACATTTCTTCAGCTTGTGTTAACCACAGACCTGATTTCAGGATAACAACCAAAATCACATTCAGAAAACCATTGACCTCAAGACCAGGGGACGGGTAGGGGTAAATGCCAGTCATTTCCGGATTTTAGGACTTTCTGTAAATGTCTGAAAAATGTAGAGAATTGCGTACCTGTTTCAGCGTTTGCATAAATTGGGGATGCGGCGGCTCGAACTTAAGAAGAGGAGGAAGGAGGAAAAAATGAAGGGATTTTAGAATAATGGAACAGTTAGAAATTCAAGAGAAAGATTTGGTCAAATAGATTTTTTCTGATAATCTCCAACTTCTGATTATTTTCTGACTTTTCACAAAATTATGACTTTTTTCAGAAAAATCTCAAAATGATGACCCTTAAAAAAAAATAATCATTATTTTGTGAAAAGTCAGAAAATATCAAAATGTTGACTATTTTCTGAAAATTATGACTTTTTTCAAAAAATCGCAAAATTCAGTTTTTTTTTTTTAATATCTCAGAATTCTGAGTATTTTCAGAAAATCTCAAAATTCTGACTTGCTTCAAAAAATCTCAACATTCTGACTTTTCAGAAAATTCAGATTTTTTTAACTTTGAAAGTGGGGTTTGTGTTTCAGCGTACCTCTGTTCCTCCTGTAAGCGATGCATCCGGTTACCAGCAGCAGCAGCAGCACGATGAGGCCGCTCACACTCACAGATATGATGAGAGTTGTACTGTGTGCGGCTGGATGTCTCCGCTCTGCGGCCCCCAGCCGGCTCTCCGCCCTGCAGCTCAGCACCTCCTGCAGGTACGGCACCGAGCTGAGCAGCCGGGCAGGGCCTCTCTGCTGGTTCTTCACCTCCAGGTCCTGTATCGGGGTCCCGGAGGCCGACAGCCAGGTAACGTTGGGCAGCGGTTGGCCCTCCACCTCACACTGCAGCCTCCGGGGGGCGCCGTCTGAACCCGGTTCCACCACGGACATGTTCAGGATCTGGGGTTGAACTGCAGAAAGGAAAATTAATGAATTCCCTGTTATCGTAACGAGTAGAAAGGATGGACAAAGGTACCATAACTACACGATGCAATTCCTGGACAAATTGCGGTGTGAATGCTGTATGCTGAAAAGCTGAAATTTCATTGAATGATGGTTAATATTTTTGAAATTATGTGAGGATTAATAGCGCACATGTCCTAAATGACTAATGTAAAATGTGATGTAAAATGTGGGAGAAGAAGGCAATCAAAAAACGCGGCAGGATTTCAAAAATATGAAGAACATATTTTGCTTCTCAGCATTCACACCAAATAACATCCAATTAACGTAAGACATTCGCAGGTCGTAATGCAGCATGCAACATTTGATGACTGTCTTTCTATGCTGTGTGAAACAACATTATTGGTGTTCTTGTGATGGAAAGTTCTGAAGCAATTGGAAACAGGACTCAGAGAGACACGAGGAGAGATGGAGCTTTGATGGAAAACACTGGTGGTTTATTTGGAGCGTCGGCCGGAGAATTCACAAGAGATGTCGTGCGCCACGAGTTGACACAACGGATGCCAAACCAATTACGAAGATTCGTACCCCAGACCCAAGTATTTACGCCAACAGGCAGGAACAGGGAGACAAAACACTCTGTGAGGTCATTACAAACTGATAGACTGGGTCAAAGGTGTGGGCCGAGGAAAATATTTCCCCAACAATTGTCATATTATTTAACACAACAAGTATTACTTAGGTCAGTGGATAATGTTATAATACATTGAGGTCAATCACTTCCATTTCAGTTTAGCACCGTGTATCGTCCTGGAAGTCTCAAGATCTGGTGGTGCTCTTGGCATTACGCTATAGGTGGTTCTGTACAAAATGAGGAACGTCACATATTCAGAATGTTGTCATTGATTTGGAACCAAAGTATGGGTTATGTTGTTGCCATGCTGGGATATCAGAAGCTCTGAATTGATCGCTCAGTCCTCACCTGTTACATAAAGCTGCGTCTCTTTCTGGAAATATTTCAGCAAACCCTCCAGCTCCACCCTGCAGAAGAATGTGCAGTTATCACTCAGTTGGACCCTTCTGATGAGGAGGGACAGCTCCCCCCGACGAAGGTCACCGTACGTAGAATATTTTAACTCAGACTCTGCACAGCCGTGTTTTCCCTCCATGGAGTTGTTTGTAACTGAGCAGGTGAAGAACGGGAGGGCTCTTGATTCTCTCGCGAGCCATTTCACGGTGATCTTCCCGGAGTAGTACTGCTGTCGGGGATGAGTGAAGGAGCAGGGGAGGACCACGTCTTCTCCTCTGGGGACAAAGACCACCGGAGACACCGCCATGTCCCAAGAGACCGAGAGAGACCCTGAAGAGGAAGATCACATCCAGATGAGTGGGTTTGTCATCGGTTCCCTCCCCAGGTTTAACAGAACGTTTATTTGGAGGGTGAGTACGGCCTAAACTCTTCCATTAAACTTCAGCTGCAGCTTCAGAGACGATGCAAATATAAAAACACAAATGTTCCAAAACACATGTGAATCCTTCCCAGGCATTCCTCACTCTGGCAGCTCTCTAAAATGCATGTGTGTATTTGTACTGTGTGTGTATTCAAAACATCTGTATAGATATGAACAAATGGACAACAGAGTTTAACCCCAGGGGGGTCAACAAAGGTTCATCTTTGCACGCCCAGTATGCGTTATGTTTGTTCCCCTATCTTCTCCTATAAGTCATGTGCACTTCTGAGAGCACTTCTGCATGATCATGAGTCCGCTCTTTCCAGCCAGCAGTTCACATTTTTAAGAAACATTTTCTGAGTTTGCCTTTTGTGTTCTGTTGGTAAAGCATGGACCCTCATCCTTAGAATAGTTATGTCATGTTCAGGTTAATGTAATATAACTCAGGTATTTGATCCGACAAAGATTTGAGTATTTATTTTGTTTCTTGTAAGTCTTCGAACTTTTTAGAAGTGGAGCGTCCTTTTAAACCTTTTTTGTGGAACCATTTGTGAGCGAAACATTAAAAGGAAGAAATACACCAACCTGTGATGATCCCCGACATAATCAAATAAAAGCTCTGCTGCTGCCACATCCTCACACACGACCAAAGAACACCTTCAAACTAAAACTGCAAAATCAGGAAGACTTGTGTAGTGTGTCAAATTGAAATAGCCACTTCCTGTTAGCATGAAAGAGGAAGTCCACAATAAAGACACCACTGTAACCCGGGTAGCGGTGGGCTTTGAATGCCACCTTCCCAGTACGAACACCTTTTCAGCCCTTATTTATAACATGAGGGTCCTTAAGCTGAATCCAGAGTTACTTTCCCTCTGCTAGAGATGAGAGCAATGCTACTTAACTTCCTGTGGGAACTACGGCTCCGCCCACTTTCCCATGAAAACTGGGCACCGTCTCTCAGCGGATGGATGTCCCAGTACTGTGATACGGCACCACGGTTTTTAGGGCTGCATTACAGTAAAGTGATGTCATTTCCTTTGCCCAAATTGCATAGTCCTATTGTTGGGAAAATAGTGAGCGTCCTCTTCCAATGTGAGTCACATGCTAACAAAGGTATCCCAACTGTAGCTGTGTACATGACAGGATGTGTGATTACCTAGAAGAGCATCAGGACTGTTTGAGGCATATGATAGCTATGTGATTAACATGATGATTCAGCCTCTATGGAGATAGACATATGACAAGCATGATCATTTCTGACGTGGAGCTAATCTGAAGTAAACATTGAATACTGCTTTCTATTCCTCCATCTTGTGACTGTGTAACTCCCTCTCTTGGATATCAGCATGTGAAGGACACTGTTCAGGAACTAGCTTGATGCTCTGTATGTGATGACTACTTCCATTCTGGAGAGGATCACAGATACATGGATCCTGAGATTGAAGCTCAAGCCGGGGACCAGGGAGAGTTCTCTAACACCTATTGTTAATCTACTAAAGGAAAACAACATTGGACATTTAAACTCAAATATGACATCCTTTTATAATAGATCATGACATCCAGTATATATCAATTGAATACCTAGATTGTTTATTTATTTGTTTGTTTGTTTATTCCACACATGGCAGTTCTTTTAAAACAAAACATGTACACCTTTTGTTGTAGCCCATAGTGGAAAGGAGAATACAATCTTATTTGACCTGCTCATACTTAAAAATGAAATAAAAAAGACAAAAGTAAAATAAACAGTGATGTTCTGTCAATCACAGATACTTACAGAAACATAAAACCAGAACACAATCAGAAGTCATCTTCATTGAATGTGTATCACAATGAAAGTGCATCGTGTCTCAAAATGAATGCGCTTCCTCAGTTAGTAAATGATGCGTGGCTTCCTTCCTTGTCTTTCCATCAAGCCACTAGACGCCTTAAACAGACAGTTCTAACTCCTTTCTTTCCTTTAAATGACTCACAGTTTGAAGAGTTGCTTGGCCTCCGATGGTCTAGATCAGGGGTGTCAAACTCAAGGCCCGGGGGCCAAATCCGGCCCGCGACCTAATTTTATGTGGCCCGCAAGAGCTTGCAAAGAATATAATATAAAATATAATTGGTGTAATTGTTGAATATTTACTTTCAATTATTTGCCCTAGACTTCTGCTTTCAGACGTAGTTATTTAGGAAGATATGACCAGAACTGATAATAATCCAATGCAGGGCCAACAATGTAATATAATACATTATTTAATATATATTATATATTTACATATGTATATTTATATATAATTAAAATGACAACCGGCCCTTTGAGTGCAACCATAATGCTGATGTGGCCTGGGATGAAATTGAGTTTGACACCCCTGGTCTAGATGATATTATGGGATGTGTTTGCTCAAAATAAAATAACAAACTTTTGCACATGCAACAAAGAAAATAGGCCTTTACAATAATCAAAAGAAATAAGCAAAACTCAAATAAAATAATAAACAACTTAGGTATTCTGTCTTTCTTGATAATGCTTATAACTTCATAACTTAAAAGGTACTTGTACTATTTGTATGTGTACGGGTAGTAGCCTACGTGTACGGTTAACAACTGTTCCTCGTCGGCGTCTCTCAAACAGGTTGCCCATCACTGTGGCTTTAGCGCAGGCGCCGTGGGAATTGTAGTCCTTTATAGTGCGTTGACTACAGACGTCACAATTAGGTGGCCTATCTTACAAAATCAAAATACTGGCTCTAACAATGTACATACCAGTACACCTCTGGGAGACACAGCAATGGATCCTGTCAACTGTCTGAATCTCAGTGGGTTTATAGAATGTGTGAGTGAGCCACACTCCTACACACACGTCAGTAGAGGCAGTCTTCCTGAGTGAAATGTAGTGTTTGCAGGTTTCAAACAATTCAATACATTCATTATAACCTCCCTAAAACCCTGCTGCCTTGGCCCCTCCCCTTATTACCTCATTTTTCTGCATGTGCATGCGCTGCTGTTTCCAAAAGTTAAAATACTTTCAGCTCAAATTAAAAGTGATTTCCCCTTTTGTCCGGCAGTGGCTCAGTCAGTAGGGGCTTGGACTGGGAGCTGTAGGGTCACCGGTTCAAGTCCCCGACCAGACCTTAGTATGGAGTGTGGAATGCTACTTGGAGAGGTCCCAGTTCACCTCCTGCCCTGCCGTGGGGCCCTTGAGCAAGGCACTGGACCGTGGGGGAAAACTCCAAATGAGACTTTAGTAAATACCATGTTTTCTTGAATGTGTCTGATGAGCAGCATACACTGAGACAAGCAAGCTAACTCTCTGAATTAAGTATATTCATAAATTACCCAGATCATTTCTTTCAATGTTGCTGTTGCTATTATTAAGTATAAAATATGTCAAGGATGCACAAGTAAAATCATTTAAAATCACACACACACACACACACACACACACACACACACACACACACACACACACACACACACACACACACACACACACACACACACACACACACACACACACACACACACACACACACACACACACACACACACACTGTTACGTTACGGCCCGGCTCTGGGGCTATAACATAAACCGGAGAGTCGAGACGAGGTTTGACAATATAACAATCGTTTATTTAATAGTAAACAAAATAAGCGAAACCAGCAACAGGTCCTCGAGGCACGGAGAGAGTGCCTAGAGGAGTAAGAGCGAGGGACACGAATCCGGTTGGGCTCTCCTCTTGTAGGCTTCTAACAGGTGCAGCTCATCAGACACTGGATCCTGCAATCACACACACACACACACACACACACACACACACACACACACACACACACACACACACACACACACACACACACACACACACACACACACACACACACACACACACACACACACACACACACACACACACACACACCACACACACACACACACACACACACACACAGCCGACAGCACCCCTCGTGGTGTGGAGGGGTCGTCACACTCCCCCCCCATAAAGAAAGGAGTTCCACTAGGAACCCAGGCTACCCAACAGGACCCTCTTCACATCACAGTGAACATCCGTTAACGCAACACATTTATTTGACTTGTCCCTTGACCCAGCACATAGAAAGGCCCGGAATGTTTCTCCAGAAACGGCAAACTAGCCCTTGGCACCAAAACCAGGACCTGACCTCCAGGACTAAACGAGCGCTCTCAGCCACACGCTCAAATAGGGAGAAGAAGGTATCTGGAAACATAAAGCTGCGTCTCTTTCTGGAAATATTGCAGCAAACCCTCCAGCTCCACCCTGCAGAAGAATGTGCCGCTATCACTCAGTTGGACCCTTCTGATGAGGAAGGACAGCTCCCCCCGACGAAGGTCACCGTACGTAGAATATTTTAACTCAGACTCTGCACAGCCGTGTTTTCCCTCCATGGAGTCGTTTGTAACTGAGCAGGTGAAGAACGGGAGGGCTCTTGATTCTCTCGCCAGCCATTTCACGGTGATCTTCCCGGAGTAGTGCTGCTGTCGGGGATGAGTGAAGGAGCAGGGGAGGACTAACCCTAACCCTAACCCTAACCCTAACCCTAACCCCTAACCCCTAACCCTAACCCTGCACTATATTCTGTTGCGTAGCTTTTTTTTTAACTCAGTTCATCGTCAACTCATTAACTTATGTCAACTATACACAAACTATTTCTAATTGGACCGAATAAAAGGAGAAATGCTCGTACCAGTGATGAACCCCCAGAGGATAAAGAAGGTCTGCTGCTGCCTCATCCTCAGGCTGAACCTCGAACGAGAAGAGAGAAAACCTTCAAACCTAAACAGCCAAATCAGGAAGTCGTGTGAAACTAAACGCTTCCTGTCAGTCTCAAGTGAGAAGTGGCCTAGAGCCAGTGGTGGCTGGTCATTAGGGGCAGGTACTTTCTGCTGACACTAGGTGACCCTAGTATCACCTAGTGTCAGCAGAAAGTAATTAAAATAATAATTCCAAAATTATGCAAAAAATATATGTCTTAAAATATATTTTAAGATCATGTTTAGTCGTCTGATTCGTCTCATTGCTGTTTTAGTCTGCGTTCTTCTGATTAGTGTCCCCAGTGTGCCTATTGAGCTGTGTAGCGATGTGGGGCAAGCTCCGATCTGCCCCTCTCTCTCTGCTGTAGAAATGAACGTGTACTGTGAAAACTACACTGCACATGCTCAGAGTCTTTTTGTATTCAATGTGTGCGGCAAAATAATTATCACAAGTGGGGTAAAGTGCTGGCAACCCCACCAAAACATCATCTCATGATTCAGAGCTGATGGCTGTAAGTACGTGTGCCGCGAAAAGTGTAGTTGTGAAGAGGAGACGAGAGAGAGCAGCGTATAGCGATTACAATCAGTAACACGGAAAGAAAATGAATGAAGCTGACCGTCTACTTCAGCTTTGGTAAGTTCATATCTTTAGTTGATCTTCTGTGTTTCGCCTGTAGGCCATTGCTCTGCTGGATCCATTGATATTGATACCTCGGTGATGAGTGTCTGTGTTTTCCTGATATTTACAGTCTATGGTGTTTTAATGCTGAAGCATTACGGTTGTTGTTATTGTTAAGAATTGCTTTGTGATGCTGCCCTTCACTGCATGTAGAAAGGTGCATTACAATGTGACATCCCCACGCTGTGCACGTGCTCACAGTGTTGCTCCGTGCTCTGCATTCACGGCCTCCGACAGTATGTCATTTGACACTCCCCTCCCCCCCCTCTCTCTATCACCCCCCCCCCCTCTCTCTATCACCCCCCCCCTCTCTATCACCCCCCCTCTCTCTATCACCCCCTCCCCCCTCTCTCTATCACCCCCT